TTATGGTGGGTAATCAACTTAATTACCCATTTGGTATGAAGTGCTTTGAGTTGGTGATCGGGATCTAAAATCCCCAGTCCTCCCTGCTGCTTTGGTCTAGTAACGTGTTTCCATGCCACCTTGGAAATGAAGTGTACAGTCATTGCATTAGATGTCCATAAGTATGTCGTTGCCCTTCTTCTCAGCAATGTTAAAGTGGTATTTGGCGGGGTCCAAATTGACCCTACATACCAGATCATAGAGAAGATAGATGCATTTAATATGAGTGCCCTCCCGAATATAGAAGTGTAGACGTTCGACCAAGCCCCCAGCTTACTCAGGATGTTAGCCAATAGATTTGTTGCCTTGGAGTGATGAGTACCTGCCTCTGTAATTTTCACGCCTAGATATCTAATAGGGGTTTGTGGAGATGTCCATTGTAGGCCCTCTGGGCATTCCTCCGGGAGATGACTCTCTTGACCTTGTTCTCCCAACCACCAACCCTCCATTTTCCGCCGTTTATTTTCATTTCTGACGCTAATTGAAAAGCCTCCATTGCTCTTATTAACGCTTGAAATGATGAATCCGATGCTCTAATGAGTACTGTTAGATCATCTGCAAACATAATAATTGTGGGAAGGTGAACAGTGTGTCCATGATGATCCTGTTCCGTCAGCAATCTATGAATTGAAGGATCCTTACGCAAGAAGGAAGCAATCGCCTCCATTATGAACAGAAATATCGGCGCCGCTAACGGGTCCCCTTGCCTAACTGATCTTGACATTCTATAGGCTGCTGACAAATGACCATTAACTTGCACTTGGCCGTGCGCATTGTTATATAAAACCCTAATCCATTTCCTAAAATTCGGACCCACTCCCATCTTTTCCATGCATTGTTGCAGAAAGGGCCAGCTTACCTGGTCATAAGCCTTCTCAAAGTCAAAGAACAGTATTGCGGCATTAATACGCTTGTCTCTTATGTACCTTACTRTTTCGGTTAGCGTCATGACATTGTCTAAGATGAACCTCCCCGGTATAAATCCTGTCTGGTCCAAATGAAAGCAACTCGCTGTGAGAGGAGTGAGTCTGTTTACTAATGCTTTGGCTATTATCTTATGTGTTAGTGTTAGCAACGTAATCGGCCTATAATTCCGAATGTCTGAAGGGTTCCCTTTCTTGTATAGCAGTGTCAGTACTCCCGTTGCCGGATCCTGCCCTTGTCCTGCCATGCTTGCTCCAAATAGGCAAGGTATTCCTCCCCTAGGATTGGCCAAAACTCCAACCATAATTCCTTGGTCAATCCATCCTTACCCGGAGTCTTGTTTGGAGCCATAGACTTCAAGGCCTCCCATAACTCGTCAAGCGTCAAAGGAGCAACCAACGTTACTGCTTGCTGCGGGGAGATGGTTGGTTGCAGACACCTTAAAAACTTAGACCGTGCCTCTTTAACCTGGTGCTTAGGGTAATCAGCCTCCCTTGACAGCCTCCCTTGATGTGTAAAGATTACTATAAAAATTGTGGGCTACTTGGATCATCTCTTCTATTACCGATGTCGGGCCCAAAGGACCGTCAAGTTGTTATATCTGAGCGTTTCTGCCCTTGGACTTAATTTTCTGAAAAAAGAACTTCGTCATTCTCTCCCCCTCCTCCCATTCCCTAACCCTGGCTCTCATTTGCAGACCTCTCAGCCTCCAACGCTCCCAATCTGCCAACTCTTCCCTTGCTACTTTCAGGGCCCTTTCATACATTTTTTGACATGGATAAGCTATCATGTTGTGTTCCGCGAGCTTCATTGCTTGTTGGAGCTCCCACTCCCTTTCCCTTCTTCTAGCCGCCAACCTTCTAGCTGCCCCATTTGAGGCTTTAGAAATTGCGTTTAGCAGATCTGGGAATGTTTGGGTTAGTGGGTTGTGTGACTGACATGCCTGCAATACAGCCTATCTCATTTTCGGAGTGCGCAGCAGAGAATTATTTATTTTGTAAAAGCCCTTTCCTCTTTTGACCTGTTTGTCTGTTATGAGGTGGAGAAGATGAGTTTATGGTCCAATCCAAGCGCAAAGGGCAGATCTCCAATGCCAACCGATTGTATCATACCTATTATGCTGGGAAATGTTAGAAAATAATCTATCCTAGATGTTGACACATGCTGACTGCGGTTCTTTTTAAATAGGTGAACCTTCTTTCTTCTGGAAATTGCAGTCTATAGGGATCCACCAGGTCTCTGTTTGTCATCATCCTGTGCACCGGTAAGGCTTCCTCCATTAAACCGTCCTCCCATTATCTACCTGTTGCCGACATTCTATCCAATCGAATGTCGAGGGCAGCATTCTAGTCCCCAACTAATATTAAATGATGATCTACTTCCAATTGTTCCTGTATGATGTCCACAAATTTTGACCTCTGTTGTAACCCATTTGGACCGTATACACCTAGCAACGTATACGGCTCATCATGAAGCTCGAAGTTAACCCTAACCCATCTTCCCTCTACTTCGTCCACTGCAGTGCTAGTTACTCTAATTTTTCATACTGCCGGCAATCTATTACTCTGTAAAATGACTACTCCTGCTGAGTGTGATCTGGCTGTAGGTGCCCACCAAGCCTCCTTTACTCTCTGGAGTTTTTGTATAATCTTTCTCTGAATTTGTTGATGCTCCTGAGTTTCTCAGAGGTGTGTTTCTTGAAAACAGATGAAGTCCGACGGGGATGACCCAAACCAGTCTATATATTTTATGACATTATGCCACTTATCCTGGTTTTCAAGTATACCCACCATTCCATTTACGTTCCATGATATGATACTTAACTCCGGAAGAGTACGGCCTGCCTGATCCCTCCTTGCCTTCTTAACCAACCTCCCTGCTCTCCCCTCCGCCATAACCTTTCCCTTATCTCCCTAGGTCTATATTTCACACGTTTATGGGCTTTAAGAATCCACTCCCTCTATATTGATGACTATTGAAAAGGGAGTCACCCTCTTGTCAAGGTAATCAGGCTTCCATGCAAAAGCTTCTACCTTGACTGCCACCGCCGCGCAGCGCGCCACTCATTCTGGCGATTCCATACCCCCTAACAGACCATAAGGGATAGTTTCCACAATCTGCCATGGCATCCATACCAGGCCTTCCCTCAAGATAGCCTTTTCCTCCACATGGATGAGAAGTGGTCTAAAGTCCTCTCCCTCTCCCCCTTCAGATCCCTCTGTGACTTCCTTTCTCCTATCGCCTAGAACGTAAGCTCGAGCCGATAAGCCTTCCCCAATGATGTTCTTCCGATCTCCCCCTGTACATGCATTTCCCGGGGCTACGATCAATTTAAGTGAGCGATGAATTGCCACCTCCCAATCAGAATGCTTTCCATTCCATCTACAAGGAAGAATTACCCTTCCTTTAGCTCCATTCTTTGCTCCCAATTTTGCGGCTGCATCAATGTCTTTCAAATGACCTTTTGCTATTTTTAGCAAATTTATAGTATCCTCCTCCAATTCCCTGTTCTCATCCCTTAATGCATTAACCTGAGCCTCCAGAACCGCTGCTTGCCTTTGCAGATCCTCCTTCTGTTTTTGCTTCTTTTATTGCGTTGAAAGGTTGAATCTTTCTAGCAAATTGTGTATCTTCCTATTACCATTTATCTTCTACTTACTTAGTGATATCGTGATGATGCTAAATTCCCCTGATTAAATTTCGTGAAATTATTAAAGTTATGTTTAAATGTTTAAACTTGCTTAAACTTTATTCCTTTTTATTTGTGCAAATTTAAATATTTTTTAATTAAATATTTAACTTTTGCGAAATTAATTATTGCAAATTTAAACATTCTTTAATTAAATATTCAATCTTTTGCCAAAATTAAATTTTATTAATTCGTATTTTCCTGATTAAAATTTTATTTAATTTCTCAAAATTCGAAATTTTCAAGCGGGGGGGGGCGGGGGGATTTTTTTTCTTCTTTTCTCTTTTTGATTAGTGTCAAATATTCGAGGTCAGGGGAGAAAGGGACTGTCTGTGCATTGTTTGCCTCTCTGCCCTTCCTCCACCCCTACCTTCTCTCTCTCCTCCTCTCGGTACTACAGACGTCGGTCTCCGGCCACGTCAGCATTGTGCCACATCAGCAGCGGGCCACAAACGCAGATTGCCACATCAGCCGCATGCCACCTCAGCATGCCACGACAGCCGAGTGCCCAGTCAGCAACGGCCACCTCAGCAGTGCCACCTCAGCAGGTGCCACCTCTGCGGTGACACGTCAGCAGCAGACAAAGACCAGAGTACTTGATGCGCCACAGTTAACGACCTGCGGAGCGCGGATTCGCAGGAACCAAGCCCCAACAAGGACCTAAGACACCTCGGATCCCGCGCAGGCGACGCACGGAGGGGGGGGAGGGGGGGAGGGGTTTCTTCTTTTCTCTTTTTGATTAGTGTCAAATATTCGAGGTCAGGGGAGAAAGGACTGTCTGTGCATTGTTTGCCTCTCTGCCCTTCCTCCACCCCTACCTTCTCTCTCTCCTCCTCTCGGTACTACGGACGTCAGTCTCCCGCCACGTCAGCATTGTGCCACATCAGCAGCGGGCCACGAACGCAGATTGCCACATCAGCCGCGTGCCACCTCAGCATGCCACGACAGTCGAGTGCCCAGTCAGCAGCGGCCACCTCAGCAGTGCCACATCAGCAGGTGCCACCTCAGCGGTGACACGTCAGCAGCAGACGAAGACCAGAGTACTTGATGCGCCACAGTCAACGACCTGCGGAGCGTGGATTCGCAGGAACCAAGCCCCAACAGGGACCTAAGACACCTCGGATCCCGCGCAGGCGACGCACGACCATGGCTGCGACCGCCGACGTCAAGCCAGCCCCAAGAGGCCGGTTACCCCTCCTATCCCAGTTCAGCAGGCCGATGAACCACTTCTAGCGTTCCTCAAACGTCTCCAATCCTACTCTGAGACCACGGCAGCTGAACTGAGCAAGTGGGAAGAGGAGCAAGCCGCCCGCTAGCAGGAAATTCAACGCCAGCTGGCAGAGGCAGAGGCAGCACGTCAGCAGGCCGCAGCAGAAGCTGCAGCAGCCACACGGTTGCAACAGCAGCAGATCGAGGCAAGTCAAAACCAAGTTCGTTACCAAGCTACAATGGAGCTCGCCAACGAAGAAGCCACGTACCGGAGGTTACTCCGACGGCAGCATTTTCCAGCAAACGAGGTACAAGAGGAGCCGACCGAGGACGAGAGAAACAAGGAGGCCACAACAGTTTTGATGGAGAACCTGCTGTACACGTGCAATTGGCAGCAACGTGAAGTGTTGGCCATGCGGCAGGTCTTCATCCGCCACGAAACGACGTTTAAAGCATTGGACAAGAAGATCGCTACTATGCAGGCCAAACTCAGCACACTACACGCCACCAACAGCCAGCAGCAGACAATCAACGGCCAGCTGCAGAACGGTGTCAGCACAGGGTTGGCACAACTATCGGCAGCTACGCCGACGGGCAGCGCAGTGGCAGATTGCAGCCCAGCCTTGGCCGCGCAGGCCAAGCAACTCGAGGAGCGGATCAACCATGTGGTCGCGTCCCTCGGCGACATCAGCAAGTTTGCTGGAGCGTCGACAGTCAGCAATCAACTGCAGATGCTCAGCGACCGCGTTCAGCAACGACCGGTCGCTGTCGCCAAGGAATGGAAGATGCCGAACTTCAAGATCGAGAAGTTCGATGATTATCACAAGACTGATCCGCTGCAATGGTGGATGGCATTCAACGCAGAGGCGGACGTGCATCACACTCCAGCACTGCGGCGGCTTGACGCACTCTACCTCCAACTCGTTGGAGGGGCGCAGGCCTTCATGACGCACATGGCGGTCACATTGGAATGTACCATCGCCAGATTCGCCACCCTCCACACCAAGATCACGTGGGAGGAATTCGAGAAGAAATGGAAGACCCAGTTCATGGTCAACAACGACACGCGTCACGCCTTGAACAAGATCTTCCGCATGTTTCAAGGCCAGCAACCTTCACGGGAGTGGCTGACGGAGTGGCAAAGACTCTTCGCCACCCCAGAGTTGAACTTACCGTTCGACGCAATCCGGGCCGAATTCTTCGCTCCGTCATGCGACGCCTTGACAGCTGCTCTCGGCAGCGAAGTCCAGTATGAGACCTTTGATGACATGATCTCAAAGGCAAGAGAATTAATCCAAGGTAACCGGCACGCGGCCAACGAGGCCCGCCAACAGCCCGGTTATGTGGAGAAAGGCAAGGGTCAACGGACGCCGGAAGTAGCAGCAGTCCAACAAGGACCTAGTGAGGACCACGCAGCCGCGTCTACATCAAGTGACGGAGATGTGGCGGCAGCGATACCACCTCAACGCTCAAGACCCCGAGGGCGTCGGCGGATGGAGCACGACAGTCACCATGGACGAAGTTCGGTATTACAGAAGACATGTTCAAGTTGAGACACAAATGGGGATGCTGTTTGTGGTGCAATAGCGCCAAACACGTCACAAGCGCCTGCCTCGACAAGGACAAGGAAAATGTCAAACGTCCAGGCTCGGGAAACTGAGCACCGCCGGAAGTGCAGCGACAACACTGCCCAGTCCGCCGGACTCGGCTGCCTTGCTAGCAGTCTCTCTCACGTCCGGGGACACCGCGGTGGTCGCAAGTTCTCATATTAATTTTGAGAACTATGCTGTCGAGCTGGTCCCACCGTTGAACCAGCCTCTCCACATGCAAGATTCAAGCGCATGTGCGCTAGTTTCGTCATCGAACAACGAACCGGTTGCTTCGCCAGCCCTTCTATTGGAGGATCCGTCACTTTAGGCGAGTCTTGAGGAACTCGAGCCGTTGACGGTGGAGGACTTCCAATGGTTTCCTCTTCCCTCCACCGGTTCTTTGCCAACTCCGCATTGCAACACCTTAATGGCACATTTGCACGAATACTTGCACGCTGCAGTACCAACTCCGTCGACAGACGGCGGAGTAGCAGTTGGCGATCTTTGTAACTATCTAGCGAAGATCGACCGCGAGTACGCAATGCAACGGTACGTCGACATCGCGCGCCGCTCCTCTACATCCGCATTCAGAACGGAAAGGCAACCTGCAGTGCCTTGATCGATTGTGGAGCGACTCGCAACTACATCAGCCAAGACTTCATGGCGCGCGCCGGGCTAGGCCCGCGCATTCAAAGGAAAAGTCAGCCTACGCACGTCACGTTGGCCGATGGTCACACTCAAAAGTCAATCGACCGATGCGTTGACTCGGTGCCCATGTACTTTGCCCCGCTAGCATGCGAGGCCGTGTCATTCGACATATTGGACACTAAGTTTGATATGATCTTAGGCATGTCGTGGCTGCAAAGCAAAGACCATCCGGTAAACTTCAATCGACGCACCGTTCACGTTCGTGATCGGCGTGGCGAATTAGTCCCGTGTACGGTACCGCTTCCTCATCCTTCGATTAGTTGTCACGTGGTCTCCGCGGCGAGCATTCGCCAATCCATACGGCGGAACGACATCGAGGAGATGGGCATATGTTTTCTTCACGCCCTCCCACCCGGTGATCAGCCCAAGATGGATACGTTGGACCCACGCATCATTGAGCTGTTGGACAGCTATGAGGATGTCTTCCAAGCTCCCGCCGGAGTAGTACCGGATCGGCCCATACGCCACGGGATCACTCTCGAGGATGGCGCCGTACCTCCGAGCGGATGTATCTACCGCATGAGCGAAGAGGAGCTTCAAGTGCTTCGGGCACAACTAGACGATCTCTTGGCCAAGGGCTGGATTCGCCCTAGATGTTCGCGATACGGTGCTCCCGTTCTCTTCATTCGGAAGAAGAATAAGGACCTTCGTTTGTACATCGACTATCGGAAACTTAACGCGCAAACGATCAAGAACGTCGGCCCTCTCCCTCGGATCGATGATTTTCTCGAGCGACTAGGCAGCGCCAAGTACTTCTCGAAGCTTGACCTCAAATCCGGCTACCACCAGATCGAGATCCAGCCAAGAGATAGGTACAAGACCGCGTTCAAGACGCAATATGGGCACTTTGAGTGGATCGTCATGCCTTTCGGTCTCACCAATGCCCCGACTACTTTCCAAGCGGCTATGACGACGGAATTCCGCGACTTGCTCGACCGCACCGTCCTCATTTACCTTGATGACATCTTGGTTTATAGTCGGACGATGGACGAGCACCTTGAGCACCTTCGCGCCGTTTTGGAGCGGCTTCGTATCGCCAAGTACAAGGCGAACCGTGACAAGTGCGAGTTTGCCCAACACACTTAGGCCATTACGTGACGCTGCAAGGCATTCGTCCGCTCGCGGACAAAGTATAAGCCATTCAAGATTGGCCAGACCTCGAGTGTACTACCGACGTCCGCTCCTTTCTTGGCTTAGCATCTTACTACATGCGCTTCGTCAAAGAGTTTCAACGGATCGCTGCACCATTGTCGCGACTTCAGTCCCCTTGGTGCCCTTCGAATTCAACGACGAAGCCCGACATGCGTTTCATATGCGTCCCCCGCTTCTACACGAAAGTACAAGGAACTGCTGGCCAAAGCCCGCGCAAACATGCAAAAGGCTCAGGTCCATATGCAGCAGCAAGTGAACCGGCGTCGCATCCCATCTCCAATCCGCACCGGCGACCTGGTTTGGGTCACCTCCGAGGAATTCGCGCTTGAGCATCACGTCTCGTGCAAGCTCCTCCCTAAGTGGTTTGGACCATGGAAGGTCACTTCAGCAGCTGGCGACGACCCCGCCGGTCCATCTTTCATTATCGAGATCCCCCCCCATTTGACGGTCCACCCGATATTTCACGCTTCAAAGTTGGCGGTCTACACTCCAGCCTCCACAGCGGACTTCCCGGGCAGACGGTCACACGACCCTCCTTCAGTGGATGGTCACCAGGAGGTCGACCGCGTTCTCACGCATCGCAAACATGGCAACAGGCCAATGCAGTACAAAGTTACATTTAAGCAATGCGATCCTGACGACACACGCTGGATTTCACGAGCTGACTTGAAGGCGACAGCACCCCTCATCTTCGCGCATTACGAAAAACAGTGACTTGCTAAGGAAGCTGCCCAACCTGCCCGCCCCGTACGGACATCGGACAGACAGCTTCGCGCTCGCAGTTAGCAAGGTCTTCAAGGGGGGGAGTGTGTGGCATTCTGAGCCACACTGGCCCCAGTTAGGGCCCGGTTCCAAATAGGCAGGGTAGGCCTAAGGGACGACGGTTCAGATGAGGCCCAGATAGGCCAGGACCACGGCGGTTCAGGCAGGCCAGGGGTAGAGGCCCAGGCCAACGGCCACAAGGCCGGTACCGGTCCAGCATAGGACCTACCGGCGGCGCTGCAGAGGCTGCCGCGTTTAGGTGCCAAGTTCCAGTTTTAAAACTGGACTGTTGATCAGATCAACTGTCCAGGCCGGTAGGTACCAGCAGGTAGGAGGCCGGCCCAGCACTACAAAAGGCTGGGTACCAGCCTCAGTAGGGAGGTTATATGGACCGAAGGTTAGTCTTCAGGATTAGCGCAGCATTCAGCGTTAGTACGATTAGCGCAGCGCTGCAGCATAGCGAGGAGCAGCGAGGAGAGCAGGAGCTCAGCGGCGAGAGGATTAGCGCAGCATCGGGTGCCGCGCCAGTTACCGGCCCAGCCCCCTTGCAGCACCATAGCTACCGTGCCAGGTACCAGGGAGGAAGGCTTCGCCTTCTCTCCCTCATCTTCCTCCACCGCTCTCTCTCTCTCGCTCGCTCGCTCGCTCTCCTCCTACCTTCTCCGTCTAAGTCTACTTCTGGGTTCTCCTACGGGACTACTACGAGTATGAAAGATGGTTACGAATTCTGATGACATTGGAGACAGCAACATTGGGACTATAGGTTGAGGACTACTTGTGGGATCTGATTTCATCTGCCTCTGGAGATGTACTTGACATTGTGAGATCGATATCTGAGACATTGTGGGACACTGTATTCACGACATTTCGGACTTTCGCCATCTCTGACATTTCAAGATACTATCTTTGAGAAACATTGAGTTGACGTCATCTTCCCTCTCCTCCTCCCTTCGTCTCTCTCCTCCCTCCATTCGTCCGTGGATGATCTCAGACCCGTCCATGTCCAAGGCCAGGGCTTCACACCCCTGATGAATGATTGAGAGTGTTCGATTGCAGTCCGAGTCAGGTCCGAGTCAGTCCATGGGTATCAACTCTTCCGCTGTATTTGTATCAACTCTGTATTATCTGGTCAGTTCTGGGAATCTGCGTCATACTTATGACTGTGTTTCACGAGTATGCAACACCTGGATACTTCGATGAAACCTTGTAAATAATTGGTCCGTGGGTGTTGGTAACGTGGTTGAGATCCTTGGAAATTTGTGCTGTTGATTGACTTGGGGAGAACGGTAATTAGAATTGATTTTCATTTCAATTCTATTTTCGGTATTTGTGTGCTTCCGCTGCGTATTCTTACCATCCGGTGTGGTGTGGATTGCTCCCTCCAAAGGTCACTTGTCATTGCACATGTGTATGGGAACATGTGGATGCCACCATGTTGGATCTCGTTTCAATCAGGCACATAGCAAAATTTTGACCTGGGTGTGGCTGGGTAGGGGAAGGCTATTATTGCAAATGCTGGGTGGGCTGGGGACTGGTAGGGGGATTTTAAATCAGCTTGGGTGGGGTCTGGGTAAATATCATGGCTACCGTGGACCCGGACACCGGACAAATCCGGACCCAGACAACCAGTCGGTCCGGATATGATCCGGATGTCCGGATATGACGTCCGGATATGATCCGGACGTCCGGATTTGCGGACCAGTCTGGACTGTCCGGACATGGTCTAGATCAGTCTGGATGGTCCGGATGATCATGTCCGGATCGGACCGGATTGAAAAAAAAAAAAAAAACACTTGCAGGTCTCTTATGCATGTTGAATGCAGTTTCATCATGTAACCGTGACTTGAGGGGAAGTGTTCCAGGAAGACATCGCTGTTGGCATATATGACAAGCATGAATGATCACTCCTTGACATACACTGTGCTGGCACAGTCACTGCAAAGCACAAACTGCTGCAAGGGAAGAAAAAGTGAAGAAACAAAAAAAAGAACACTCTGCAGTAAACCTGAATAAAGGTAAATATTAAATGAAGTTCAAGACTTTAGCAGTTCATAATTTGAAGTTCATAACTTGAAGTTCAAAGTTTGAAGTCCGATTTCAAACTCTCTCTCTCTCTCTCTCTCTCTCTCTCTCTCTCTCTCTCTCTCTCTCTCTCTCTCTCTCTCTCTCTCTCTCTCTCTCTCTCTCTCTCTCTCTTATGTGCGCACCAGTCCACAACGGTAGCGAGGGCTCTCTCTCCCTCTCCCTCTGTGTTTGTGTGTGTGTGTGTGTGTGTGGCGGCGGCGGGTGGGCGAGAAAGCGCTCTGAAGTGCCTAGATCCGCCATTTCTTCCCTTTGTCACTGGGGAACTGCGCTCTGCCTCCAACAGTCTGCCCAGGATGCAAATAGAAAAGGGGTCGGTCCGGCCGCCCTGTACGGCCGATACCAGCCCCAAAAATCATAGAAACATTTTTCAGGGGGCGCCCTGGACCCGAGGAACAGGTCTAGGGTGCCCCATTTTTTTTTTGAATTTCGGGGTTTTGACCCCCCTTCCAGACGGGCCTCCTACGGTCCGGCGTCCAGACACCGGACAGCAGACCGTCTGGACGCCTGTCCGGATGTCCAGATGGTAGCCAGGCCATCATATTTACGTGGGTCTGGCCACATATGATACATCAAGGCTTGGACTGGGTCAAATATGAACAGGTGAAAAAGATGGTTTTGCGACCTATGCTTGGTGCCAGGCCAACCAGCTGACCCGTATCTCGAGCGAGGGTGAGGGTGGTTGTATAGACAGCAGGTATTAGAATGAACCTGGAGACTCGGTTCATTGAAACAACAGATTTGGCCCCAGGAGGCAGCTAAGTGGGATGGAGGGTGGTGAGTACAATGGTTACTCGGAACTGAAGGAGGAGGATTCCTGTCGGCTGTTTCAGGCCGAAATCAGACCTGTGTAGGTATGTGAATAGTGTAGGGTAGGAGGCATAGGGGAAGGTTTAGGATAGTGTAGAAATGGGAGAGTAAGCAATTGAGTGAATGTGTTGTTGTAGTAGAGATAAGTAGGAAGTGTACTCCATTGACGCAAGCTAAGTTGAGTTGTGCTCTCAGTATTGAACCATGGGTCGAATTGTGGGGTCCCCGGCCTCCAGTTGTACGACTTTTTAAAAATATTCAAAACAAAAAAAAAACTTGGTCCTTTCCTTGCTTTTGTCAGATATTTTGGAAAGAAATTGAGCACTTAACAAAAACTGTCAAAAAGTGAAAAAAGGAAACGGTGGAAAAGAACTGGCGGCTGCTCCCAAGAATTGCAGCAATTGAACACACACAAGAGAGAAAAACAGGAGACGCATTTCTTACTGAGACAGATTTTGTAAAAAGCCTTAGAAAAGGATACTCTCCTCTTGCTTCTGCTCTTCTCAGGCTCACCCTTTACATCCTTGAACCGGACGTGAGGCGGAAGCTGTGCCATCTTACTCTCATTCACATCACTCTCCATTTGTTGATCAGCTGACTTTGCCTGAGGCATCTCCTGCTCCGGTAAAACCTTCAGCTTGCTCCCAATTGTTCGCTGGTAAAGTTCTTTGACCTCCTCTTGAGCCATTTCTAGTCCCTCCGCCTCCTTTTCCTTTGCGCCTTTTCTTGGCACAGCCGTCTCATTGTCTTCGGAAGACTGCAACCCAGCTTCTGATGTGACTTCAGCAGTGACAGTTGCTCTTAGCTCATCATCCCCGCCACCCTTCGGCGGTGACACTTCCAGATTCACGTCACCTGTAGTCAAGGATGCTGGAGGCATGTCTTCTTCATCGACTTGCAGGTCCGGGTTCATTTCCTTCCTAAACTTTTCCTTTGCTTGCTGAGCATCTGCCAATGTCATCTGGATTGCTTGCCTCACAGTCATGAGTTGCTGAGCCCTCACGCTAGCTTGTGCATCGAACAACTTCGGCCTACCCTTGAGCATCTTCTTCCTCTTCGATAATCCCATGACAGAACCTTGCATAGCCGGTTGCCAGGTGGCTTCCTTTGGCTCAAGATTCTTGTTGCCGGGAACGCGGAGTATCCCTGCCGCCAAAGCCCCTTTCTTTGCATCCCCTCCTTCCTCCCGATCTCCCAACCCTCTCTTCCGAACTCGTGCAGCAAACTTTTGCAGCACATAGTGGGTGTTTGGCAACCAGTCCTGACCTCCATGGAACCCTCGAAGCTGCTCCGTCACATCCGGAAAAGAATTCTTTGCTCCCTTGTAACTCAGGTCCGAACGGAGGTGCTTCGACTTTTCAATCCTCTGGGCAACTTCTTCTGCGAATGCAAGAGTCGTTGCATCTCTCTCCTCCGCTGACATTCCGGTCACGTACGACAAGAACGCATCGTCATCCTTCACAAACGACCAATCGTCGGTGTTGAGGAGTTCGCTGGTCGCTTTTGCCATGTATGGGGGAACCAGACCCTGCACATGTACATCATGTATACGCCACCCCCAGTCAAGTTCGTCGAGACCACTTGACTTATGCTCCACCCAAACCAGTTCGAATTGTATACATAACAGAGGCGAAGGCTCGGCTTGAGTGCAAAACAGAAAATGTGGGTGCTGCCTTCAGTCTCAGAGTTTGCAGCTCCCACATATCCCTGGACTGTCTGTGTGTCCCTTTTCTATTTCTTAAAACAGCCTTATGCTATGTTCTGATATATGAGCAATCTCCAAACTATCCCCTTATGCTATGTTCTGATATATGAGCAATCTCCAAACTATCCCCTTTTGCTATGTTCTGATATATGAGCAATCTCCAAACTATCCCCAACACTGCGCACGGTTTTAGGTACATTGAAGGCTGAACTGTGTCTGGGCTCTAAGGGTTGCATCCTTTTTTCTTGAACCACCAGTACTTGGCCCGGTTATTGATGCCGAGCCGGGAAACGCCATGCGCACCAAATTGTGCCGAACCGACAGCGCGGCATTTTGTTTCAATTTTGGCAGGCGCCTCCAGCCATTGTGGTGTGGTACCCCGAAGCCCATAGGCCGCGGCGCGTTAACAGGAAACGCCCTCTGTTATGTAAGTTGTTTATCTTTTTGTTATTTTATCAAGTCATACCGACATAGGGACTGTGGGCTGCATGTTTCGACTTACAGCGTACTCACACTAGCACTTCTCTAGATGCATCTGAGTGCAAATACAGCTGACTGTGGATGTATCTGACCGCAAAGATGTCCAGAGCCGAGTTGAAAAAATCGTTGTGTGAGTATTACCTTAAAGTCTGATCGCGTAAGGCCGTAGGGTATCCTGTCCGTATCAACTGGAAGACTTAAATGTCATAAGGACATATGCTACCTCTTTTTTACTGAATCTGGACGTGATCGCGGTAATATGCATCCCCAGAAGTCCTAGTGTGAGCACACCCAAATTATGGCCATTTCTGCACCAAAGCAGGAAAAGAATCGTGATGTATAGACAGTATTGTCATCCAGGTGCATTCTGACGCACACATTTGCTCAATCAAATAAGCATTTGTTGTCCCCAAAATCCTGGCTGAGCTCTAAAACATGCCCAGCCAGGTAGATCCTAGACTTCAGGCTGGAAAGCGCAAGGTCCCATTAAGACACGTTGGTTCCAGCTTGTGTTCTTCTTCTTCTTCTTCTTCTTCTTTTTTTTTTTTTTTTTTTTTTTTTTTTTTTTTTTTTACAATTGGTGGAATCCCCATTTTTTTTTATTATTTTATTTTTTTTAAGAAAAACGGAAACTTTAGGTTCTGGCTCCTACCATTCTGGGGAGCGACAGTCCGGTTCCTATTCCCCCGGCAAGTCAATATGGAAAACATGGATGACTTAAGCACGCTCCTCCCCATTATGGTTGGGAGGTCCGAGTGGACGGCATTGATTACTTCTCTGAGGAAGGATGTACCACCCCTCACCCCTGCCTAGTTTAGCCTATGCTATTTGCTCTGCCTGGCTGAAGTCCTCTTGCCTGAACCCAGTCCCGCTCCTCTCAGCTGTGGTGCTGTCGGATTGTTGTGTCATGCTAGAGCGATCTGAAGGGCCTATGAACCTTTTGAATTCCCTGATATCTTAGTCCTTTGCATGGGTCCTGGGGACCATCTYACGCAAGTGTGTACATGCCATGCATCGTACTCCTACACACAATGAACAGTATTCTGACAATAGACAAAGATAGAGAAGATGAGGACCGAGTTTCACAATTTATATTATCAGAAATATGAATACAAAGTGTTTCAAAGTTCCCCT